ACGGGAGAATACTTGAACGTTTCTATTGGCATGCATTTTCTGGATTCATTAATACGGGAGAATACTTGTGCGTTTCTATTGGTATGCATTTTCTGGGTTCATTAACATGAGAGAATACTTGAGTGTTTCTATTGGTATGCATTTTCTGGGTTCATTAATACGGGAGAATACTTGAGCGTTTCTATTCGTATGCATTTTCTGGGTTCATTAATACGGGTGAATACTTGAGCGTTTGTATTGGCATGCATTTTCTGGGTTCATTAATACGGGAGAATAATTGAGCGTCTCTATTGGTATGCATTTTCTGGGTTCATTAACATGAGAGAAGACTTGAGCGTTTCTATTGGTATACTCTTTCTGTGTTCTTTAATACGGGAGAATACTTGAGCGTTTCTATTGATATGCATTTTCTGATTCTTTAATATGGGAGAATACTTGAGCGTTTCTATTGGTATGAATTTTCAGGGTTCATTAATACGGGAGAATACTTGAGCGTTTCTTTTGGTATTCATTTTCTGGGTTCATTAATACGGGAGAATACTTGAGCGTTTCTATTGGCATGCATTTTCTGGGTTCTTTAATACGGGAGAATACTTGAGCGTTTATAGTGGTATGCATTTTCTGGTTTGTTAATACGGGAGAATACTTGAGCGTTTCTATTGGTATGCATTTTCTGGGTTCATTAATACGGGAGAATAATTGAGCGTTTCTATTGGTAAGCATTTTCTGGGTTCATTAATACGGGAGAATACTTGTGCGTTTCTATTGGTATGCATTTTCTGGGTTCATTAATACGGGAGAATACTTGAGCGTTTGTATTGGTATGCATTTTCTGGGTTCATTAACATGAGAGAATACTTGAGCGTTTCTATTGGTATGCATTTTCTGTGTTCATTAATACGGGAGAATAATTGAGCGTTTCTATTGGTAAGCATTTTCTGGGTTCATTAATACGGGACAATACTTGAGCGTTTCTATTCGTATGCATTTTCTGGGTTCATTAATACGGGTGAATACTTGAGCGTTTCTATTGGCATGCATTTTCTGGGTTCATTAATACGGGAGAATAATTGAGCGTTTCTATTGGCATGCATTTTCTGGGTTCATTAATACGGGAGAATACTTGAGCGTTTCTATTGGCATGCATTTTCTGGGTTCATTAATACGGGAGAATACTTGAGCGTTTCTATTGGTATGCATTTTCTGGGTTCTTTAATACGGGAGAATAATTGAGCGTCTCTATTGGTATGCATTTTCTGGGTTCATTAATACGGGTGAATACTTGAGCGTTTCTATTGGCATGCATTTTCTGGGTTCTTTAATACGGGAGAATACTTGAGCGTTTCTATTGGCATGCATTTTCTGGGTTCTTTAATATGTGAGAATACTTGAGCGTTTCTATTTATATGCATTTTCTGGGTTCTTTAATATGTGAGAATACTTGAGCGTTTCTATTGGTATGCATTTTCTGGGTTCTTTAATACGGGAGAATAATTGAGCGTTTCTATTGGTAAGCATTTTCTGGGTTCATTAATACGGGAGAATACTTGTGCGTTTCTATTGGTATGCATTTTCTGGGTTCATTAATACGGGAGAATACTTGAGCGTATTTGTATGACTTCCTGGGTGCATTGTCTGGAAAGCTATTAATACATGAATTTCTGTCTGGATTTCTGGGATGACGAATTATCATTATTTACATTCAGACTAATATCCTCATCTTTGTTATTATCATCAAATTTTGGTCGTTGTGCAATCCATTTTATTCAGGGGCTTGCTGATTCGGGTAAACGTCAGGATATTTTGGAAACAAATTTTACATATCGGGTCAGCTCGAAATCCCTTGAAGGTTACTTGGATTGACAAACACCTGAAGAAGTTTGAAAGGCACAACGGTCGAAACGTTGTGATAATAACAACAAAGATAAGGACATTAGACTGAATGCGATTATGTATAATACATCTTTTTCACCATAAAATTGTCTGTAGATACTGAAGACACCCTGCCTAGCCGCCTATATTGTCTTTCAAAATTAACCTCATTATTTTCTGTGTAGTACATATTTACTCGGCCCGACCCCAATCAAGGCAGGGTGTTATAAAATGTCGTTTTAACATAAATAGCGCCATACACATATGGGCCGAGGACAAATATTAATTTGCCCAGTCCCTGCGACCAGAGTCACGCTGGCATCGATATTACACCGACCCTGTCTTACTGCAATGAGGAAGGTGCTGCCGCATTGTGCGAATCCCCGGGGCAGAGCAAGTTCTCCTATCTAAAATAAGGAGAAACGTTACTCCACTTACTGTTCAAAAGTTAACTTCTGTGTCATGTAAGTACTTTTCTGTGTAGTATGTATCTCACCCCAGATCACACAAGAAAAGACTTTGCACTCAGCGTTCTTTAGAGAAGCCAGGTGCATCAGCGGGTTAATCTGAGAGACGACCTCCTTGTCGCTCACATGATTGGTACAGCTGTACCTGGGATGAAAGCATAGGAAAACGCCGAAAGACAGATTATATATATATATATATATATGATATATATATAATATATGATATATATATATGATATCTATATATATATGATATATATATATGATATATTTTATATATATATATATATATATATATATATATATATATATATATATATATATCCACCTCCAGTATTAAAAAGGCAGTCTCACTTGGACATCGCAGACTGGAATGTAAGGTCCACATATATACGTAAACCAGCTGATAGCCATTCAAGAGTTGAATAACAAATATAATATTAAAAGCGTTTTTCTTAGCACAATGACGACAAATTATTACATTTGCGAAATATCTCATGCTGGGTTGTTTTTTGGGCCTGGGAACACGAAAAAATGTTACCAATATAAATTAATGATAATTACTTTTTAGCTTCAGTTTATTTCAGCATAGCAATATTTTCGGCGAGACTCGGGAAATTTATTTAAAAACAAATCAACTGATTTCATTGATCTTTGAATATTTTATTTGTTTTTGAGAAAAGAAATTGTAGTCAGCAGTTTTTTGAAGTTTTTTTCCTTAGAATATAATTTATAATCTGTATAAAGTATCAATGTCTGTGCATGTATAAATTTTTGTGTTTTTATGGTTACTCACATAAATAGGCATTATTTTGATATGTAATGAGAAAAGGAAAAAGGTGTCGATAACGTTCAAATAAAATGCCAAGTTTTATGTCCTCATTACAAGGCAATGAAGACATTTAGCTCTCCTGAAATTTTGATTAAAGATAACATTTTGGAAGATCTAATGTACAATATCCATAAAGAAAAATTTAAGGAGTAATAGAAAGAATATATTAGATTTGTGCAAAAGTTCCCAGCACACTCTTCTGAAAACTGAACACAGTAAAAGAAAAAAAAAAAAAAAAAATTTTTTAAAATCAAAACCACCGAAAACCTTTTCACACATATAAATACAAAAAGAAAATTTATCTTAGCCGACGCGTTTCGTCCTGTGATGGACTTTACCAACGAAAATATAAGGATTTTATTTTGCAACAAGTGTTCATACACAGAAATAAAAACGTCGTTAGTTTTACAGAATTTTTAAAATTAAGAACGCTCATAAATATACTTCAGGCTAACTGAAAGCCAAGGAAAATTATGGAAGATGCTAAGTGATGTAAATTAAAATCTAATAAACGAAAGTGAGTAAATGTTGAATTTTTTTTTATAATGTAATTATATATATTATTATAATTTGAGAAATTGAGTTATATATTTTGAATAAATGGTATTGAATTTAACTGTTTTCTTATAATTTTTAATTTTTTTATAGTCATGTATGTTGGCTTTGGAAAGGACTATTTTTTTTTTTTTTTTTTTTTTAGAAAAAGGAGAAGTTTGAAAAAATTCCGGGGCGCAGATTTATATTTTGGTAAGATTCGATAGCGGCACTTTCAAGAATTTTCCGTCTAAGTAAGTTGCTTACACTTTTAATAAGCGTGGCATTTTTTATGTTGAACTTATTTCTTTGTATGACTAATGCATTTGATAAATTGTTGTGTATAAAGATCCTTTTTGTGTTCATAGTTAAATTTTCCTTTTGGCTTTATTCACAGTGTCTTTTTTACAGATATATTCTTAGTGATATCAGAGTTTTTACACACACATATTATATGTATATATATATATATATATATATGAATGAGAGAATAAGGGGAAATTGCCTATTTTGATCACTGTGCGGAAGAGTGTTTCAGATAACAATAACTGGTTGATAACATTCGGCAAAGGATATAAAATTTATATTCATTGTTTCAATTTTGTTACCATAACCACCTTTACGTTATGAATGAATCCGTAGTAGTATCAGTTGTAAAGAAAAAGCCATTTATTATGATCGTTTTGAAACAGGTTCTTTCAGATAAAATTAACTGGCTGATAACATTAAACAAATGCTATAAACATTTAAACAATTTACATTCATTGTCGAATTCTTAATCTCATAATTATTAAATTCACATTAAATTAATATTAACTTTACATTATCAAAAATCAATAGATTATTGACGTGAAATTATTATTATGTCATTAATTTTAAATAACAGACTTCCGAGTTTCTGATAATAATAATAGGCTGATAACATTATCCATGGTTATAATAAATGATTCCCTCTGTATAATCTATCATGGTTCTTTTATGTTTTATTTTTTTACGGTTTAGCAACCTTTTATCATAAAATTGTTTTTTTACGACTTATCAGTCATTTATCTTAAAATTATTTTTTTTATCAATCTTTCACAGGTTATTTAACGCCAGGAAATAGTTTTAGATTGTAAGATTTTTTCGGGGATAATAATGATTCACTGATACGAGCCCTACTATTTAACCCATAGCGGGGGAGAGGAAACGTGACTTCATACGTTTCCCAAGGATATTTGCGCAGAAGTGAATATGAAGAACCCGACTTGAAATGGAACTCTGCAATCCGATTTGAAGTTCCGAGCCGTTATCCATTACAGCACATGGTATTCCCAAGCGGTCACCCATATAGGTACTGACCAGGCTCGACGTTGCTTAACCTCGGCGATCGGACGAAAACCGGTGTTTCGATGTGACATGGTCGTAAGCCCGAATCTAACATGAAAGGATTCAGGATACAAATTCTTCAAAACTTCTATTTGCTTTAACGATTCGATATGGAATAACACAAGAAATACTAAAAGTTTATAGAGAAAAACAAGTTATTTTACTAGAAAAATGATTTTTAATTTATGTTAATGCTTAGATTCACTGCTAATGGTTTTAATATAGAAATACATTGAAAATTATTGACTATAGTAAAATTCCAAAGGATTTACTATAGAAATGCAGTGAAAATTATTATTACATAAACTTAAATAAAATGTTTTTTTGATTGATTTTGATAATAAATGTTTAATAATATTATACATGATTATAACAAATAGCTTCCTTTTACTCTAAAATATTTTCTGGCTTTAAATAACCTGAAAAGGGTTGATAACCCACAGAAAACAAATCAATCATTCAAACTATGATTCTAATAATCGGCTTATCGTATATATCAGGCAATTTGTAGAAGACGCCTGGTTAAATAGAGCCACAATTGTAGAACATCCATTGTAGATTTGCTGCTTAGACTGTCATGTTAATATTATGTAGTTGATATTTTCAAGATGGCGGGAGTATGATTATCATGATGCTTATATAATATGGAAATGATGTCATGACATCCAATGCGTATGATACAACCAGGTAAAATTGAAATGTACAAATTCTAGCATAAATTGATAGCACAAAATTCTTTTGAACGGTGTTTCCCAGTCTTCAGAATTATTTTAGGATCACACAAACAGTTGGTTATTAAAGTGCCTAAGAATATATTTACAAAAAACAACAACAAAATCATTTACAAAAATGTTTTCTAGATGGTACAAAAGAGAAGCAACAAGGAATAGTTTTAATCTATGCCAATACACACAGAGGAAAAGAAGAGAAAAAGAGATTGTGGGGAAGGGAAAAGGAGGAAGAAGTGGGGACGAGAGAAAAGAGGGATTAAAAAGTGAAAAAAAAAAAGAAAAGAAAAAACGGAAGAGTAAGGAGAAAAAGAAGACGAGTTGGAGAAAATGATTAAAAAAAGACGAATGGGTAAAAAAGAGAAAAAGAAGACGAGTGTGGAAAGAGAGAAAAAGGAACAAAATGAATAGGGAAAAGAGAAAAAAGAAGACAACTGGGGAAAAGAGATAAATGGAGACGATGAGTGCGGAAAAGGGAGAAAACAAAAATGGAAGGGGCTAAGCAAAGAGGAAAGGAGAAGGAAAAAGAGAAAAAAAGGAAAAAAAAAAACGAAATAAATGAACAAAAGTGGGAAAGAAGTTTAGAATTGTCATGAGTTTGGAGTTTTGGAGCAATCTAGTAACGGAAAATTTTTAAGATAAATTGTTTTTTTGTTTCTTCTTTTTATTCAAATTTTGAAGCATTTTCCCTATTAATATGCTCAGTTTTAGCCATTGCTAAATTTCTACATTAGGAAGATTTTTCTTCAGTTTGAAATTGAACGAGAAAATTAAAAATTCATTTGTAAGAATAATCAATGTTCTTTGATATGTATAGACATTTAAGACAAAGTGATATTAAAAAACAAAACATTTTGTGACTTTTATCCACGCATATAGTGATTTTCCAAGCGTAGCTTAGATGTGGCACAAGGCCGAAAATGTGGGATACCCAGTGAGGATTAACTCACTACTCAGTTATAATTGTTCTAGCAAGACAAGCTTGCTAGCCATTACAACGTCTTGAGGTGCCCAATATACGCATATAAAATGCAATGCCATGTGTGTGTGCATATTTGACTTTTTTTTTCTTTTTCCAATCTCTCTAAATATGTAGAGAACTTTTATGAACTCTTCCGGTGATATAGTAGAAATAGAATTTTATGTTGTTTTAAATTTGAAAAGAATATTATTCAATGCTGTAAAGTTTATCAATTTAGGGATGCAGAACGTTTTTTTTTATCTGAGGAACATGTAAATTTGTTCGTAAGTATGACACTGTTCAATATTCAGGTAAAAAATAACTGGTAACGAAAGGCATTTACTCAATCTCTATTCTACTGTGCGTCTTTCATTTAGTTTATTTCTACTGCGCGTCCTTTCTTTAGATTATTTCTACTGTGCGTCCTTCATTTAGTTTATTTCTACTGTGCGTCTTTTCTTTAGATTATTTCTACTGTGCGTCCTTCATTTAGTTTATTTCTACTGTGCGTCCTTTCTTTAGATTATTTCTACTGTGCGTCCTTCATTTAGTTTATTTCTACTGTGCGTCCTTTCTTTAGATTATTTCTACTGTGCGTCCTTCATTTAGTTTATTTCTACTGTGCGTCCTTTCTTTAGATTATTTTTATTGTGCGTCTTTTCTTTAGTTTATTTCTACTGTGCGTCCTTTCTTTAGATTATTTCTACTGTGCGTCCTTCATTTAGTTTATTTCTACTGTGCGTCTTTTCTTTAGAATATTTCTACTGTGCGTCCTTCATTTAGTTTATTTCTACTGTGCGTCTTTTCTTTAGATTATTTCTACTGTGCGTCCTTTCTTTAGATTATTTCTACTGTGCGTCCTTTCTTTAGATTATTTCTACTGTGCGTCCTTCATTTAGTTTATTTCTACTGTACGTCCAGTTATTTTTACCTGAATATCGAACAGTGTCATACTCACGCCCAAATTTACATATTTACTTTCAGCAACAGATTATTACACCAAATTCTTAGAAAATGAACATCCTGCCACCACTGAAGCAATCGGGGGTGATAAAGTGATCCATATCTTGGATTAAGATTTAAATGTTGCATTTTATTTAGTTTATTTTTACTATGCGACCTTTCGTTAGTTTATTTCTATTGTGTGTCCTTTAATTGACTGAAATCTCTAATATGCATCTTTTATAAACACTTATAAATGTCCAGTCTCTACAGATGAATTTTATTATTCTTATGAATTCACTATGAAGGACGCATAGTAGAAATAAACTAAATGAATGATGAACAATAGAAATAATCTAAAGAAAGGACGCACAGTAGAAATATGCTAAATGTAGGACGCACAGTAGAAATAATCCAAAGAAAGGACGCACAGTAGAAATAAGCCGAGTTCCAATTCCAGTCGAATTTGTTATATTCACTTACGCGCAAATACCCATGGGGAAGGTATTAGTCAACCTTTTCTCCTCCAGGTATCGGTTAATTAGTAGGCTTAGTATCAGTAAATCCTTATTATCTTAAAAAAATTTACAATTTAAAAATATTTTCTGGCTTTAAATAACCCGCAAAAAATTGATAAGCCGTAAAAATGAATCAGTCAATTAGTACCCATAGACTGTATCCATAGAGCATATACATAAAATAGACACAGATTCTGTTAGCAGACTTGGGTTTACCAAATATTTGTGGGCGTTCTCAGTGGTATCTACCGTTGGTACCGATATTTGCCCAAACATTTAAAATAAAAATGGCTAGGAAGAAGTTGGGAAAACATAAACGAAGGTTTCATTTTCTAGAAAGAGAACATGCTAACGAAGTCTAGAAAGGCATTATTATGCCTTCTCTCCGACCCTGAAAAGAAAAACAATGAATGCTACAAAAGTTGTCTTTACTCACAAGTCCAGCACGTAATTCTGCGAGAAACTGTATTTTACCCACGTATCAGTAAAACATACTTTTTTTCACGGTGTCTATGGAGGCTGGATTTAACTGACTGGCTATCAAGGGTCACAAGCGCGGTGTGTACTAGTTGGGGAAGAGGAAGGAAGAGGAAAACAAAAGTAATAAAAATATATTATGGTGTTTAACTATTTACTAAGTGTAGACTAGTTTGGGACGTAGCTACAATAATAATATAACGACGTCTACGTTTATTAGTTTGCTGAAAGTAGTATTTTTATATTGCTACACCTGGGTTAGTCTTTCACAAATTGTCAGGCTTTTAAATTATGTATTAAACAAGAGCATGCATTAAATTATGTATTAAACAAGAGCATGCCAACAAGAGGGTCACACAAATTCCACTAAAATATGAAACTACTTTTCTTTCACGTGTGTTCCTTCTTTGTCTATTCCAGGTCTCGTTCAAAAGTTTCTACGTGGTCTTGTGGGTGATGAATTATTTTCTACCCTACAATCCCTTTCCTACAGATGAAATGGCGTATGCTTCTGGCTATTTTATTGCCAATTCCATAGCAAGTGTTTTGATGGGCTACATTCCTTGTTTCCACCAGCCCTGACCTTTGCAGCTGGAACCCACCATGACACATATACAAGGATGAATCATCCTCATTCCATTAGTAAAAAGTAAGTTCCCCTCAGTTTCTTCCCAAGGACTACCGCTTGGTAGATCAAACTCCCGAGAAGATGTTTTCCCGACCACTACAATGTCGACCACTCCAAGTTTAGATTTAACAATTATATTTCCGACATAACCGTGTAAACTTTATTTACATTATTCGGACTATTGTCCTCATCTTTTTCGCCATATTTATTACAACTTTTCAGCCGTTGTACGCTCCGGCCTTCTTCAGGTGGTTGGAATGTTGAACTAAACCCTTTATTTCGCTCACTGGGGTAGACTGTTCTAGTTCCACGTGCCGTGTTTAATGGATGTCAGTTATCAGTTATCTCCTTGTTAATATCCCCCTGAAAGTTCTCCACTGCCTTAACCGGGTATTGAACTCACACTCCTTTGGTTCTGTCACTGGATCTAATTAACGCATTTATCCACTGTGCCGTGTGTCACTGAAACGAAGTAGCGTCTCTGATATGTTTTTTCCGTCTTTCTCCGCGATCAAAACGGAATAGTCCATTACTTATGAGGTATTGGTAGAAGACGTTAAACACTTCTTTCTTTCTCACTGAAACGAAGTAGCATCTCTGATATGTCTTTTCCGTCTTTCTCCGCGATCAAAACGGAATAGATCATTGTTTATAAGGTATTGTCTGAGCGTAACGTTGCTGTGCTAAGGGAGGACCAAGCATAATTCTAATAAGATACGAGATTTTGGGGGTTTTTTTTTCACTAGTTGTAACTACTGGTTTTTATGGGAGCTCAAGTATTCTAGC